TATACAAACGCATTTCAGGAGCTCACAAGTTCCCCCTTCATCAGGGCTAGCAAACAAGATTGCATTCAAGTATACCAAAGCGTTTCAGGAGCTCACAAGTTCTCCCTTCATCAAGGCTAGCAAACAAGATTGCATTCAAGTATACCAAAGCATTTCAGGAGCTCACAAGTTCTCCCTTCATCAAGGCTAGCAAACAAGATTGCATTCAAGTATACCAAAGCATTTCAGGAGCTCACAAGTTCTCCCTTCATCAAGGCTAGCAAACAAGATTGCATTCAAGTATACCAAAGCATTTCAGGAGCTCACAAGTTCTCCCTTCATCAAGGCTAGCAAACAAGATTGCATTCAAGTATACCAAAGCGTTTCAGGAGCTCACAAGTTCTCCCTTAATCAGGGCTAGCAAACAAGATTGCATTCAAGTATACCAAAGCATTTCAGGAGCTCACAAGTTCTCCCTTCATCAAGGCTAGCAAACAAGATTGCATTCAAGTATACCAAAGCATTTCAGGAGCTCACAAGTTCTCCCTTCATCAAGGCTAGCAAACAAGATTGCATTCAAGTATACCAAAGCATTTCAGGAGCTCACAAGTTCTCTCTTCATCAGGGCTAGCAAACAAGATTGCATTCAAATATACCAACGCGTTTCAGGAGCTCACAAGTTCTCCCTTCATCAGGGCTAGCAAACAAGATTGCACACTGTATGAGGAGTTCTGTCAATGCCATTTAGATCTGTTTATCAGAATTAAACCTGCTTGGAAAGGAACAGTCAATAGAAATCGGTTGAGAGCACAACGCAAGCATACCAATGCGCTTCGGGGACTCACAAACCCCCCCCCCCCCACACAGTGTATTGTATGATGCGTTCTGTCAATGCCATTGAGATCCATTTATCATAACCAAACCTGCTTGGAAAGTTACAGTCTATAGGAAATGAGAGAGCACCATAACGCAAGCGCACCACAACACAAGCAACCAACACATTTCGGGGACTCACAAACCCCCCCCCCCCCCCCGTTCGTCAAGATTGACCTATACGATGCATTCTGTCAATGCCATTTGGATTCGTTTATCAGAATCAAACCTGCGTAGGACAGTGAAAGTTTATATAAAATGGATGTGGATGGGAGCGCCACGGCTCAAGTAAACCACTTCCATATAAAAGAGTGCGAGCACCAGATCTCAAGATTTAAAAATCATAGCCAATGCATTTCGGGGTGCACAAATGCCCCTGCATCCGTAATTGAAAACAAGATACCCATCTAGGAATGCCATTTATGACAGTTTTGGAAAGTTTAAATCTGCATAAAAAAAATGAAAGTGCTACATTCTCAAGATTCAAAAAGTGTAACAACACTTTTCGGGGGCTCACAAATTCCCACTTTCAGGGTTAGCAGACAAGATTGCACACTGTATGATGCGATCTGTCAATGTCATTTAGATTGGTTTATCAGAATTAAACCTGCTTTGGAAAGTTAGTACATAAAAGGATGAGCACACTAGATCTCAAGATTCAGAATGTATACCAACACATTTCGGGACACAGCAATGCCCCCTTCATCAGGGGATAGTAGACATGATAGCCGCCTGAAAATGCCAAATATATCAGTTTATCAGAATTAAAACTGCTTTGGAATGTTAGGTTCTATATGAAAGGATGAGAGAACTGCAACTCAATGCTCAAAAATTATACCAACGCATTTCAGGGCACACTTATGTCCCCTTCATCAGGGGATAGTCGACAAAATAGCCACCTGAAAACGCCAATTATATCAGTTTATCAGAATTAAAACTGCTTTGGAAAGTTAAGGTCCATAGAAAAAGGATGAGAACCGCAACTCAAGATTCAGAAAGTATACCAACCCGTTTCAGGAGTTTACAAAGCTCCTTTCATCTTTTATATCAGTATAAAGCAAAATAACAAACAAAAAAGCAAAAACAAAAAACAATGGAAAAAAAAAGAAAAAGTGTAAAGCAAGAAGTCATAATAACAATGTACATGACCTTACTGAGTGACACCAATCAGAGGAGTAATGGAGAGATCCTCTACACTGAACGACGATGGTAACGTTGCGATAAAAACCTCGTGGCTCGGCCAATCAGATGGGACACAGGAAATAATCACATGCTCCTTTATCCCATGCTCAGTGAGTAACGCTGATATCTGATCATATTTCCACTGATAAAGGAGGAAGCAGTCCAAGTGTTGTTCTACATTTTACACATTTAGTTGGGTACATGAAGCACCAGTCTTAAAGCTGCCATTACTGACCAAGCTAGATTCGCTAAACTACGGGCTTTAAATCCGACCTTCAATCTTGCCCAGTTGTACCGGCTCCTCTCCTGGACTGAAATAACTTCCTCTGATTTCACCGCACACTGTGAGCTTCTCACAATGTGCATCAGAAGCAGAAAGTCAGATATAATCCACCTCATTTCCTGGCTGAAAGACATCTGACATCATCTAGAGATTTCCTCCCCAGCCTGACCCCTTTCAAAGCAGGGAAATGAAACAAATCGACCTGTAGTAAAAAGCAGCACATATTCCACACATTACACATTGATAGGCACACAATTAACCCCTTGATTGCCCCTAGATGGTTATCCCTTCCCAGCCAGAGTCATTAGTGCAGTGACAGTGTATATTATTAACACTGATCACTGTATTAGTATCACTGGAGATGTCAGTGTCAGTTAGGGTCAGATTGCCCGCCACACTATCACAGTCCCACTATAAATCAATGATCGCTGCCTTTACTGGTATTAAAGAAAACAAAATCCAGTATATATATATATATATATATATATATATATATATATATATATATATATATATATATATATATATATATATACACACACACCTTCATTTATAATCACTGTAACTTTCACGCAAGCCAATCAATATACACTTATTGGAATTTTTTTTTTTTGAAGAATGTGATTTTTAAATAGTTTTTATATGTTTTATAGCAGAAAGTAAAAAATATTTGTTTTTTTTAAAAAACTTTTGTTCTTTTTTCATTTATAATGTAAAAAAATAAAAAAAAAAAAACCTAATGGTGATAAAATAGCAACAAAAGAAAGCTCTATTTGCATGAAAAAAATGTATATAATTTTCATTTGGGTACAGCGTTGCATGAGCGCACAATCGCCAGTTAAAGTAGCGCAGTGCCGCATAGCAAATGGCCTGGTCATGAAGGGGGTAAAATCTTCCAAAGCTGAAGTGGTTAAAAAAACCAAAAAAAACACAAACTATTTGTATCTACTCTCTAACCTCTATTTGGAAAAAACAATTAAAACAACTTTGTGCATCAGAAACGTGCTGCAAACGCACGTCACGCTTGTGGTGTCAACTGTTAATGGAACCGCAAGCGCCAGTAGCAGACGCACATTTTTTTGCATAGTAAATGCACTACAAACGCACCAAAACCTGCAATGAAACAAATGTGCCATACTCCGCTCCGAAGAAAGTTTGGTAGCTTCTTCGGGGCGTTTGTAGCACGTTGGGCAGCACATTGATGCGCAACGAGCAGAAACGCTCCGAAACGCGCAAGTGCATGTGGGAACACATTCAGATGTGAACAGGGTCTTAGAGTTTACATACAACTTTTACATGTTTCTCCCTTGGCCTTCCAGGCATCCAACGGAAACCTTGGTGTCAGAAACACAACAATGACACCACAAACTGAATTCCCAGAGCCTGAACTGCAGGTTTTTCAGCTGACTCAGTCCTCATGCACGAGGGACGTTTTTACAGCGGCTGTTTTTGGCTTGATGTTTTTTTCTACAGCCAGTAAACCCCCAGCATGTTATCCTATGTGTCCATACACACAGACTGTAATCAACAGGTGCACGGATATCCTGGTATGGCTTGAAGGCATCAAAAACCCGGCACAAACCTGCCAAATTAGCCACAGTTTTACCACCTCCTTGAACACCCACCTAAACTAGGGTATGCAGCTGCTCAGAGCTGTACATATGCTGCGGGCCTGGCCACAGCAAAAATTCAATGGCGTATCGCATTCAGCTGGAAGTACTTTTGGCAAAAGAAATCCATTCAACTGAAAAGGACCCTAAAGGTTAGTTCGCACTAGCTTTGGTCTCTGAAGAGCGATCTGTGTTAGGATCGCTCTTCAGAGAGCATGACAGACAGCAAGGAGGTGTATCGCCTCCTCACTACCTGCTTTAACCCCTTGAACACACACACACGTTAAAGGAGCTTAACACTTCCAGGCTTTCTCCCTCATCTAGCTTGTGACTGGACAGTGAAAGGAGAAGCAGCACTGATGAGCTAATCTCTGGTCCGTCGTCCTTCTACGTAGGCAGGAGGCAGCCCCTCCGTGGTCCGTCCTCCTCCTACGTAGGCGGGAGGCAGCCCCTCCGTGGTCCGTCCTCCTCCTACGTAGGCGGGAGGCAGCCCCTCCGTGGTCCCCCTCCGTGGCGGGAGGCCGTCCTCCTCCTCCTACGTAGGCGGGAGGCAGCCCCTCCGTGGTCCGTCCTCCTCCTACGTAGGCGGGAGGCAGCCCCTCCGTGGTCCGTCCTCCTCCTACGTAGGCGGGAGGCAGCCCCTCCGTGGTCCGTCCTCCTCCTACGTAGGCGGGAGGCAGCCCCTCCGTGGTCCGTCCTCCTCCTACGTAGGCGGGAGGCAGCCCCTCCGTGGTCCGTCCTCCTCCTACGTAGGCGGGAGGCAGCCCCTCCGTGGTCCGTCCTCCTCCTACGTAGGCGGGAGGCAGCCCCTCCGTGGTCCGTCCTCCTCCTCCTACGTAGGCGGGAGGCAGCCCCTCCGTGGTCCGTCCTCCTCCTACGTAGGCGGGAGGCAGCCCCTCCGTGGTCCGTCCTCCTCCTACGTAGGCGGGAGGCAGCCCCTCCGTGGTCCGTCCTCCTCCTCCTACGTAGGCGGGAGGCAGCCCCTCCGTGGTCCGTCCTCCTCCTACGTAGGCGGGAGGCAGCCCCTCCGTGGTCCGTCCTCCTCCTACGTAGGCGGGAGGCAGCCCCTCCGTGGTCCGTCCTCCTCCTACGTAGGCGGGAGGCAGCCCCTCCGTGGTCCGTCCTCCTCCTACGTAGGCGGGAGGCAGCCCCTCCGTGGTCCGTCCTCCTCCTACGTAGGCGGGAGGCAGCCCCTCCGTGGTCCGTCCTCCTCCTACGTAGGCGGGAGGCAGCCCCTCCGTGGTCCGTCCTCCTCCTACGTAGGCGGGAGGCAGCCCCTCCGTGGTTCCTCCTCCTACGTAGGCGGGAGGCAGCCCCTCCGTGTTCCCATCTCCGCTCGGTAAGACGGGAGGCAGCCCCTCCGTGTTCCCATCTCCCATCGGTAGACGGGAGGCAGCCCCTCCGTGTTCCCATCTCCCATCGGTAGACGGGAGGCAGCCCCTCCATGTTCCCATCTCCCATCGGTAGACGGGAGGCAGCCCCTCCATGTTCCCATCTCCCATCGGTAGACGGGAGGCAGCCCCTCCATGTTCCCATCTCCCATCGGTAGACGGGAGGCAGCCCCTCCATGTTCCCATCTCCCATCGGTAGACGGGAGGTAGCCCCTCCATGTTCCCATCTCCGCGCAGTAGACGGGAGGTAGCCCCTCCATGTTCCCATCTCCCCTCCATGCGCAGTAGACGGGAGGTAGCCCCTCCATGTTCCCATCTCCGCGCAGTAGACGGGAGGTAGCCCCTCCATGTTCCCATCTCCGCGCAGTAGACGGGAGGTAGCCCCTCCATGTTCCCATCTCCGCGCAGTAGACGGGAGGTAGCCCCTCCATGTTCCCATCTCCGCGCAGTAGACGGGAGGTAGCCCCTCCATGTTCCCATCTCCGCGCAGTAGACGGGAGGTAGCCCCTCCATGTTCCCATCTCCGCGCAGTAGACGGGAGGTAGACCCTCCATGTTCCCATCTCCGCGCAGTAGACGGGAGGTAGACCCTCCATGTTCCCATCTCCGCGCAGTAGACGGGAGGTAGACCCTCCATGTTCCCATCTCCCCGCGCAGTAGACGGGAGGTAGCCCCTCCATGTTCCCATCTCCGCGCAGTAGACGGGAGGTAGCCCCTCCATGTTCCCATCTCCGCTCAGTAGACGGGAGGTAGCCCCTCCATGTTCCCATCTCCGCTCAGTAGACGGGAGGTAGCCCCTCCATGTTCCCATCTCCGCTCAGTAGACGGGAGGTAGCCCCTCCATGTTCCCATCTCCGCTCAGTAGACGGGAGGTAGCCCCTCCATGTTCCCATCTCCGCTCAGTAGACGGGAGGTAGCCCCTCCATGTTCCCATCTCCGCTCAGTAGACCCCTCCATGTTCCCATCTCCGCTCAGTAGACAGGAGGTAGCCCCTCCATGTTCCCATCTCCGCTCAGTAGACAGGAGGTAGCCCCTCCATGTTCCCATCTCCGCTCAGTAGACAGGAGGTAGCCCCTCCATGTTCCCATCTCCGCTCAGTAGACAGGAGGTAGCCCCTCCATGTTCCCATCTCCGCTCAGTAGACAGGAGGTAGCCCCTCCATGTTCCCATCTCCGCTCAGTAAACAGAAGGTAGCCCCTCCATGTTCCCATCTCCCTCAGTAGACAGGAGGAAGCCCCTCCATGTTCCGATCTCCCCTTGGTAAATAGGAGGTAGCCCCTCCATGTTCCGATCTCCCCTCAGTAGACAGGAGGAAGCCCCTCCATGTTCCGATCTCCCCTCGGTAAACAGAAGGTAGCCCCTCCATGTTCCCATCTCCCCTCGGTAGGCAGGAGGTAGCCCATCCATGTTCCGATCTCCCCTTGGTAAATAGGAGGTAGCCCCTCCATGTTCCGATCTCCCCTCAGTAGACAGGAGGAAGCCCATTCTAACTCTCAGCAGTAAAGAGGGGAAATTCCAGAACACACATCCCCATCACTGCCACAACTCCCCCCCTCGCACACCTTACACTCTCTACAGCCCCCAAGCATACGTGCCAGACAAGAAACAGGACCCCTCCCAAACCCAGACAGCAGTCTTTACACACCCCTAGCAATCCCTGCTCTAGTGCAGTCATGCAAGCGATTATTAATAAAAAGGGAGGCGATACTGAAATAGTCAGGTGTAGCAAGGATCAACACATAACACAGCCATGCCAATTCCTAGAAAACCAACCACATACCCAGAACACAGGGAACCTCTACCGAGAAAATGAGAATGTGAGATGGTCCAGTGCAGGGGCGGACTGACAACTCATGGGGCCCCAGGACAATAGGGGTTGATTGGGCCCGTGTCCTTGCCCACACTCAAACCACTCCCTAAAAAGCCTATGAAAGGTACCAGGGGCATCTCATGGGGCCCCCTACTGAACCTGGGCCCTCGGGCAGTGCCCAAGTGGCTGAATGGTCAGTCTGCGTCTGGTCCAGTGATCGGTACAGGCAGGGCCGGTGCTAGACTATTTTGCGCCCTAGGCAAGACCAGCTACTTGCGCCCCCCCACCCCAAAAAAAATTAAATAAAAAAAAAAAGTTAAAAAAAAAAAAAAAAAAAACTGTAGAAAATATTAAAATCAACAAAACATGAAATTGCTACATTTCTTTTAATTTGTAAAAATAAGTGCCATAAGATGCCACCGGCACCAATGTTAAAGACACAATCAGTGTCACCGACGGACTGTATGTGGCTGGCAGTGGCAGGGTGACAGTTGCAGTGAGGGGAGGATGATCAATCCACACTGACAGATCCCAGACTGGAATTCCCCAGGCAATGGGGGGGGGGGGGGGGGGGGGGATAAAAAACTCTGTGACAGCAGGCAGCCCAGCCCCCACGCACACAGAGAACACCTGAACGGAGTGATCCCAGTGACAGATCCGATACAACACACCAACACAGATCAGCAGGCACTAGAAGAGCAGGCAGTTGGATCGTGATGATGTCACTCGCTGACACATTGCACATGTGATGGATGGCCGGCCGGGTCACATTCACACAGATGCGAGACAGGGTCAAACATTACCTTCCTCCCCCTTCACTGATGAATGGGAAGAGAAGGGCTGGAACTCCACAGTGATCAGCAGCCACCAGCCGGCTTGCAGTAAGGGACCGAGTCTGAGAGGAACACTGGAAGGAGCGGCAGCTCAGCTGCTACACTGGCCCCAGACACCCGGCATCTTCCCCTGTCCTTTCTTCCTCCTCTCTGCTGCCCCTCCTCTCAGCTGAAGGATCAATCATGACGTGGCAGTGTCCCACACAGAGAGGTGGCAGTGCACCCTGGGCAGCTGCCTAGTTTGCCTAGTGGAAGCACCGACCCTGGGTACAGGTGATCTCGTAAAATCTAAAATCGGACATTACACCCAACATCCTTTTTTTGCTGCAGGTGTTTCCACTTCCATTATATGCTGCTTGTCCAACGATTAGGCCAAGTTCACAAGAGTGGCAGTAAAAACAAGGCGGTTGATGTGAGTTTTTACTTCCCACCAAACTGGCTTTAAAAGGTCTCTGAATAGAATTTTGAAAGAGCCACGCACAGGAACCCATAGCAGAAATACTGCTACATGGCAGCAGGGCTGTGCAAAATCACGTATATATACGCGATTTTGCTTTTCTGGGTAGGGGGGGGGGGGGCGCACGCCGCCATTGGCGGCTATGGATGTCAATCACCAGAGATTCTCCACTGGCACCTGGCGATCGCCATGTAACACTGACAGGGGAGAAACCTGTGTGCAAACAACATGCTGCTTTGTATTTCTCTGCACAACAGAGAAATACACAGCAGCATGTCTCACAAATAAATCACACAGTTAACCCTTTGATCGCCTCAGATGTTAACCCCTTCCTGCCCAGTGCCATTAGTACAGTGTCAGTGCTTTTTACTAGCACTGATCACTGTATTAGTGTCATTGGGATGTCAGTGGCAGTTAGTTCCACCCCAGTGACAGAATGCCCGCCGTAGTTTCACTATATGTCGCTGATCAACGCCATTGCTAGTTAAAAAAAATTTTTTGTTATAAATTCCAGTATCTATACCGCCATTTGTAAACGTTATAACTTTCACGTAAACCAATTAATGTACATGTATTGGGATTTTTATTTCAGCAAAGACATGTTGCAGAATACAGTTTGGCCTAAATTTGATAAATTAGATTTTTTTATTGGACATGTTTTACAGCAAAAAGTAAATATAGTTTTTTTTCTCAAAATTGTCGGTCTTTTTTTGTTTATAACGCAAAAACACCCCCAAAATGCACAGGTGATTAAATACCACCGAAAGAAAGCTCTATTTGTGGGAAAAGGACGTAAATTTCATTTGGGTGCAGCGTTGCATGACCACGCAATTGTCAGTTAAAGTAACTCAGAGCCGTATCGCAAAAAATGGCCTCGTCAGGAAGGGGGGGAAATCGTCTGGAGGATGAGGGGTTAATACAGACACCAGGAATAGGCTCATGTATAACTTTCCCTGCGCTCGTGGATGTAACCGGTGTACCGAGCCAATACAAAGCAGCACATTTGTTTTACTATGGGCCATTACCCTGTTCTTGTCTCTGGATTCCCGGAAAGGATCCCTGTTTTTTTTGTTTTTTTTTAGTATCTATAAGAGAGTATTCATACCATATACATTGTGATATCTCGTGCAACGCATTCCCAACGCATGGACGCTAAAAATACAATGCTGCACAGTTAAGGGATTTCATACCATTGTACGTGTTGCTTTTATTCCTGCTGAAAAAAAGTAGAGCATGCTTTTTTTTTTTCCCCAGTGCCAATGTGTGGTGACGCAATGTACAAAAAACGGATGTAAACGGACGAAAACAGATAAAAAGCAGATGTAAACTAATGAAAAAAAACAAAAAAAAAAACACGAATGTAAAGTGATGATAACAAAAACGGACGTAAAGTGATAACAAAAACGGACGTAAAGTGATAAAAAAAAACGGACGTAAAGTGATAAAAAAAAACGGACGTAAAGTGATGATAAAAAAAAAACGGACGTAAAGTGATGATAAAAAAAAAAACGGACGTAAAGTGATGATAAAAAAAAAACGGACGTAAAGTGATGATAAAAAAAAAACGGACGTAAACTGATGAAACAAACAAACGGACGTAAACTGATGAAACAAACAAACGGACGTAAACTGATGAAACAAACTGGATGTAAACTGGTGAAAGAAAGTGGATGTAAACTGGTGAAAGAAAGTGGATGTAAACTGGTGAAAGAAAGTGGATGTAAACTGGTGAAAGAAAGTGGATGTAAACTGATGAAAGAAAGTGGATGTAAACTGGTGAAAGAAAGTGGATGTAAACTGGTGAAAGAAAGTGGATGTAAACTGATGAAAGAAAGTGGATGTAAACTGATGAAAGAAAGTGGATGTAAACTGATGAAAGAAAGTGGATGTAAACTGATGAAAGAAAGTGGATGTAAACTGATGAAAGAAAGTGGATGTAAACTGATGAAAGAAAGTGGATGTAAACTGATGAAAGAAAGTGGATGTAAACTGATGAAAGAAAGTGGATGTAAACTGATGAAAGAAAGTGGATGTAAACTGATGAAAGAAACTGGATGTAAACTGATGAAAGAAACTGGATGTAAACTGATGAAAGAAACTGGATGTAAACTGATGGTTCTGGTGCGGGCTGCGTTTTCTGAAGTGGAGGGACTTCTTGCCTGCGTTTTCCGGGACACGGGAGTCCATTGAAATAAATAGGATCTCGTGTCCGTGCAAAAGCAGCCCGCAGGAACGCGGAGATGTGAATCTAGCCAAGGAGAGGGGGCTTCTTGGGACCGGTCGCATTGCTGGAGGGACCCTCCTACAGAAACAATAAGGTATTACTCCTCATTCATGCAACTCTAGAAGTAATAAGCATTTAACCCTTGCAGTGGTGGTGGTTGGGGGGGGGGGGGGGGGGGGATTGGCATCACAAGGTTATGTTTTTGTGGTTGTGCCTGGAGTTTAGCTTTTAAAGAAAAAGTTAAGTCCATCTCCACGGGTTAAATGCCAATTTAGGGACCATTTTTTTTTACCTGATCCCCTGCTCCCCCCCCCAGCAGTAGCGCGCTCCTCTCCTCTATTCCCCTATGCGCTGGCTGTGGGTTGTCCTTCAGCATCCTTATGACCAGAGCATAGGGGGCTGACCCCCACACTGGAAGGGCTAATTGGCCATTTAGGCCTAAGGGGCCATAAAAAGCAGCTTTTCCTTACCCGATCCCCTGTTCCCCCGGCAGTTACCCTGCTCCTCTATTCCCCTATGCCCTGGCTGCGGACTGTCCTTCAGTGTCCCCACATTCAATACAGGTCTATGGGCTCTGCATTGGACTTGATGACGTCAAGACGACCTGTGATTACAGGAACATTTGGGGCTGCCCCCTACACTGCAAGGATTAAATACCCATTTAATTCAAAGGGGCCCCAAAAAGCATTTTTTCCCCTCTTACTCGTTCCCCTGCTCCCCCCAGCAGTAGCCGTGCTCCTCTATGCCCTGGCTGTGGACAGTCCTTCAGTGTCCTCACATTCAATACAGATCTATAGGCTCTGCATTTAACGTGATGACGTCAAGAAGACCTGTAATTGCAGGAGAATAGGGGGCAAAAAAGCAGCTTTTCCTTACCCAATCCCCTGCTCCCCTATGCTCTGGATGTGGACTGTTCTTCAGTGTCCTTGTGTTCAATACAGGTCTATGGTCTCTGCATTGGACGTGATGACATCAAGAAGACCTGTGATTGCAGGAACATAGGGGGCTGCCCCCTACACTGCAAGGGCTAATTGCCCATTTAGGTCTAAGGGGCTACAAAAAGCAGCTTTTCCTTACCCGATCCCCTGCTCCCCTATGCGCTGGCTGTGGACTGTTCTTCAGTGTCCAATACAGGTCTATATGCTCTGCATTAGACGTGATGACGTCAGGAAGACCTACCTTTGCAAGAGCATAGGGGGCCACAAAAAGCAGCTTTTCCTTACCCAATCCCCTGCTCCCCTATGCTCTGGATGTGGACTGTTCTTCAGCATCCTCACATTCAATACAGGTCTGTGGGCTCTGCATTGGACTTGATGACGTCAAGAAAGACCTGCGTTTGCATGAGCATAGGGGGCCACAAAAAGCAGCTTTTCCTTACCCAATCCCCTGCTCCCCTATGCTCTGGATGTGGACTGTTCTTCAGCATCCTCACATTCAATACAGGTCTGTGGGCTCTGCATTGGTCTTGATGACGTCAAGAAGACCTGCGTTTGCAGGAGCATAGGGGGCCACAAAAAGTAGCTTTTCATTACCCAATGCCCTGCTTCCCTATGCTTTGGCTGTGGACTGTTCTTCAGCATCCAATACAGGTCTATGGGCTCTGCATTAGACATGATGATGTCAGGAAGACCTGCGTTTGCAGGAGCATAGGGGGCCACAAAAAGCAGCTTTTCCTTACCAATCCCCTACTCCCCCAGTAGTCACCATGCTTCTCTATTCCCCTATGCTTTGGCTGTGGGTTATCCTTCAGTGTCCTCGTGTTCAATACAGGTGTATGTGCTCTCCATTGGACTTGATGACGTCAAGAAGACCTGCGATCGCAGAGGTGAAGAGGATGTGGGGTCCGGTCTTACAGCCTGGATCAAGACCCCCCCCAGACCTAAACAAGCATTTAACCCTTGATGTGAGAGGGCAGCCCTACTGCATGAGGGATTTGATTTTTCCTTTCCCTTTTATTATTATTATTATTATTATTATTCAGGATTTATATATATGGGGCAGCACAGTGGCTAAGTGGTTAGCACTTCCGCCTGGCAGTACTAGGGTCGCCGGTTCGAATCCCAACCATGGCACCACCTGCCTGGAGTTTGCATGTTCTCCCTGTGACTGCAGGGGTTTCCTCCGGGTACTCCGGTTTCCTCCCACACTCCAAAGACGTGCTGGTATGTGTATGTATGAATGCGAGTTAGGGACCTTAGACTGTACGCCCCTTGAGGGTTAGGGACCTTAGACTGTACGCCCCTTGAGGGCTAGGGACCGATGTAAATGTACAATATATATGTAAAGCACTGCATAAATTGACGGCGCTATACAAGTACCTGAAATAAATAAATATACACTTACAATATAAAGGGAGACCGTACAGTTAGGTAAAACGTACATAAGAGACAAAAAAATAAATAAACCCCCCCCCCCCCCCAAAAACAAAAAAAAAAAAAAAAACAAACAAATGAAACAGTTTCAGCGCAGTGGAAAAAACGCATGCCAACCTGTGTCAGTGCTAGCAGTATGATGCGAACAGACCCCAAAAAAATCCTTTTTTCTATGGGCTTCCATCTGTTATTAGTGATCCTCTGGCCATTTGTATCAAAATTGACAAAACAAAAAAAGTGTTACAATGTAACAAATATCCCTTCATGTAAACACTGAGATCTCAGCTTTCTCAATCCAGAGGCAGCCTATAGATCTCTACTCAGAGGCAGTGATTCTGGAAGTCTTCCAATCGATTGGCTCACCTGATGTGGAGATTAGTGATCAATCACCAATAAGATGACTAATCAATGATTACAATCACAGATGGGACACCCTGCACTCTTGGTTCACACTAAAGCGGCCTGCAAGTTGTGCGACTTTGCCAGGCAACTTGAGTGCTACTTTGAAGCGGCTTTCAGGGAACGCCTGGGGTAATCTTCCTGTAATGTCGGATCCAAATCGCATCAATATAGACTTGTAGGCGACTTCCATTAAAGTCTATGGGCACAAGTCGGATAGAAGTCGCCGGGACGTAGTACAGGAACCTTTTCTAAAGTCGCAGCAACTTCAGTAGTGCTGAATTAAGACAGCTCTCATTGACTACCATGGGATTTCACATGTCATGCCACTTGGTCTCTCACAAGTCGGATCCCAAGTCCCGGCAGTGTGAACCGAGTCCAGCTGGCAGACAAGTTGCACTTGTTGTCTTTAGAACCTGCGCAGCAACCTAGGCAAAGGTGACAGCAGAACAGACAGTGGGGGGGGGAGGACTTACCTGTCAGTAGATCAGGAGGGAGAGGTCCTGCTGGTAGCTTGATCCTGGGACTGAAAGGGAGACAGAAGTCCTGTAGACTGGTCTTGGGAACTGAAGGAGGGAGGTGTTCTGTAGTCTGATCCCACAACTGACTGGGGGAGTCCTGTAGTCTGGTCCAGGGAATGGAAGGGGGGGGGTTGATATTTTCTGTAGTCTGATCCTGGGAATGAATGGGAGGGGCTAAATCCTGTAGTCTGGTCCGAGAATGGAAGGGGGGAGTTCTGTAGACTGATCCTGGGAATGAAAGTGGGGGGGGATATATTCTGTAGTTTGATCTTGGGAATGGAAAGGGGGAGATGTCCTGTAGTCCGATCCTGGGAATGGAAAGGGGGAGATGTCCTGTAGTCCGATCCTGGGAATGGAAAGGGGGAGATGTCCTGTAGTCCGATCTTGGGAATGGAAGGGGGGAGATGTCCTATGGTCCGATCCTGGGAATGGAAGGGGGGAGATGTCCTATGGTCCGATCCTGGGAATGGAAGGGGGGAGATGTCCTATGGTCCGATCCTGGGAATGGAAGGGGGGAGATGTCCTATGGTCCGATCCTGGGAATGGAAGGGGGGAGATGTCCTATGGTCCGATCCTGGGAATGGAAGGGGGGAGATGTCCTATGGTCCGATCCTGGGAATGGAAGGGGGGAGATGTCCTATGGTCCGAGCTTGGGAATGGAAAGGGGGGAGATATCCTGTGGTCCGAGCTTGGGAATGGAAAGGGGGGAGATATCCTGGGAATGGAAAGGGGGAAATGTCCTGTAGTCCAATCCTGCGAATGGAAAGGGGGGAGATGTCCTGTAGTCCAATCCTGCGAATGGAAAGGGGGAGATGTCCTGTAGTCCAATCCTGCGAATGGAAAGGGGGGAGATGTCCTGTAGTCTGCTCCTGGGAATGGAAAGGGGGAGATGTCCTGTAGTCCAATCCTGGGAATGGAAAGGGGGGAGATGTCCTGTAGTCTTGTCCCAGGACTGATAGTGGGGGGGAAATGTCCTGCAGACCGTCTGATCCCAGCAGTGGAAGGGTGAGAGGTCCTGCAGGGCACCTGATCCCAGCACTGGAGGAGGGGAGAGGACCTGCAGGCTGATCCTGGGACTGGAAGCGAGAAAGGTGCCTTGTGCTCTCCCCAGGAGTTCTGATCTTCTGACGTTGCCTTTCACCCCACCCCTGACTGCAAATCCTACGAGAGGAAGGGCAGGCTACTCCTCTTCCTCTGAGCTAGTCCACTCCCCCCTCGTCCCCTCCTCTATACAAACCTCAACAGCGAAGACTGGGGGCCACATAGGGGCCCCCAACCATCTCACATGAGAGCACAGCTGTGTATACTCTATACCCCAGTCCTGTCCTCTGAATGCAACAATCATTTTCTGGAACTCTTCAAAGCAGAATATTTAGAGGCCATTCACACCAGATGCAGTTGGATGCATTTTTTTTCTGCACTCCAACTGCATAGAAAGTCCAAAATCCAGGTTATCCTATGGGCATAGTTCACATTGATGCGGTGTGGAATTTGCAGCGTTTTCTGTGTGAATTCTGCACCGTATCAGAATTGCACCCCGTTCATGCGAACCACTGCAGGTGTGTATGTTAACAACACCCCAAAAGCAGTCCGCAAAATGCGGTGCGATGTGTGGAATCGGATCGCATAGGTGTGAATACCCATGCGATCTGATTCCAGTCTGAGTCCAGTGCCTTCGGACAGTGCCTGAGTTTCCAAATGGTCAGTCCACCCCTGACTGCACCACATATATGTGAACCCGGGGTTACAGCGAAAAAAAGCGGAGTATGCTGCAGGGGCGGACTGACCATTCGAGCACTCAGGCACTGCCCGCGGGCCCGGGGTCAGTAGGGGGCCCCATGAGATGCCCCTGGTACCTTTCATTGGCTTTTTCATAGGCTTTTTTGGGTGTGGGCGAGGACACAGGGACCCCATGATCCCCTATTGCCCGGGGGCCCCATGAGATGTCATTCCGCCCCTGGCAGGGGCGGGTTGACCATTTGGAGACTCGGGCAATGCCCGAGGGCCCGGGGTCAGTAGGGGGCCCCATGAGATGCCCCTGGTACCTTTTTCATAGGCTTTTTTGAGTTTGGCCAAGGACACAGGGGCCCCATGATCTCCTATTGCCCGGGGGCCCCATGAGTTGTCAGTCCGCCCCTGGTATGCTGCATATTCAACACCGCAAATGTGCAAAAAATGCACGTAAACGCATCGCAGAGCACATAAAAGCTCCAAGAAAGAGAATTAGGAAATGGCCTAATAGGACAAACACCAATGGAAAAGCGCACATCAACTGCATGTAAATGCACACAAAAATGTGTGCCGCTTTTGCGTGGGCTCGGCGGCTCATTCGTTTGAATTGCGTTTCATGCTGAAAGAAAAGTTCCTGTACCTTCTTTTTTTTTAAATGCAGGGTAATCGCATGGTGCTTTTGCACTTGCAAAGTGCGCTGTGTATTCAGATGCATGGGGGTTCCGTTAAGAATGAATGCAAGGGAGCAGTGCGGTTTGAATGCGGTAGTTGCAGGTGGCGGAGACAGGTGCGATTTACACGCTATCCCCCACCAGCAACCGCCTGCACCTGCCTTTAGTCTGGTACAGGGGCGGACTGACAACTCATGGGGCCCCCGGGCAATAGGGGATCATGGGGCCCCTGTGTCCTTGCCCAAACTCAAAAAAGCCTATGAAAAAGGTACCAGGGGCATCTCATGGGGCCCCTTACTGACCCCGGGCCCTCTGGCAGTGCCCGAGTTTCTAAATGGTCAGTCCGCCCCTGGTCTGGTATATAAACCTTCAGCCCGGGTTCACATATATGTGGTGCGGTATATCGCATGTGATTCGTACAAGAACCGCACCTCATTCCTGTGCAAATCACATGCGATTTGTGTGCGGTGCGATTGGAGCCTTACATTTTGTATGGCTCAAATCGCACCGCACCCGCATCAAAAAGGTGCAGGACCCTTCTTTCGTCCGCACTAGAATCGGTTCGCATGGGTATTCACACCTATGCGACCTGATTCTGCACATCGCACCGCGTTTTGCAGACCGCTTTCGGGGTGTTGTTAACTTACCATACACACCCGCAGCGGTTCGCATGAACGAGGTGCAATTCTGATGCATGTGATATATCGCATGTGATTTGCACAGAAACCGCACCGCATTCCTGTACAAACCACATGCGATTTGTGTGCGGTGCGACCGGAGCCATACATTTTGTATGGCTCAAATCGCACTGCACCCGCATCAAAAAGGTGCAGGACCATTTTTTTTTGTCCGCACTAGAATCGGTTCGCATGGGTATTCACACTTACGCGACCCGATTCTGCACATCGCACCGCGGTTTGCAGACCGCTTTCGGGGTGTTGTTAACTTACCATACACACCAGCAACGGTTCGCATGAACGGGGTGCGATTCTGATGCATGTGGTATATCACATGTGATTCGCACAGGAACCGCACCACATTCCTGGGCAAATCACATGCAAATTGTGTGCAGTGCGACTGGAGCCATACTATTTGTATGGCTCAAATTGCACCGCATCTACAACAAAAAGGGTGCAGGAGTCCAGAGGCGGACTGACCATTTGGAAACTCGGGCACTGCCCAAGGGCCCGGGGTTAGTGGGGGCCCCCATGAGATGCCCCTGGTACCTTTTTCATAGGCTTTTTTGAGTTTGGCCAAGGACACAGGGGCCCCATGATCCCCTATTGCCCGGGGGCCCTATGAGTTGTCAGTCCGCCCCTGTGCAGGACCCTTTTTTTTTGTCCGCACTAGAATCGGATCGCATGGGTATTCACACCTATGCGATCCAATTTTGCGCATCGCAATTGGATTTGCGGACCAATTTCGGGGTGTTGTTAACATACACACCCGCAGTGCTTCGCATGAACGGGGTGCGATTGCGATGCAGTGCGGAATTTGCACAGAGAATTCCTCACTGCATTAGTGTGAACCCGGGCTCAAAGGCTCGTTTACATTAACGTCAACCCTCTGAAGAGCGATCTGTGGTGGATCACTCTTGAGAGGGGGTTTGGGGGGCTGTGATAGGGGAACATGTTTCCTCCTCCTCACCTGTTTAGACCCATACCGTGGTGCAACTGTGCGGATTTCACAGTGTTGTAGCTCAGCCCAGGGGTGGACTGACAACTCATGGGGCCCCCGGGCAATCCGCCCCTGGCTCAGCCCCATTCAGATGGATCATATTTGCTGGTTTAACTGCGTGTTTTTATCACCCTCCCTTCCCCAACCACAAATGTAAATGAGGCTCAGAAAAATTCATTATTTATCCGCCAAAAGTGTAATATTTAGTGTAACATCTATGCAGTTTGCATTGCGTTTTGCGTTTTTGCACCTGCGTTTTTTTTTTTTTCATATCGCAAGGCAGTTTTAAACCGCATAAAAAAGAGGTAAAAAAGCAGCAAAAACACAAGACATGCTTTTCTGCAGCGTTTCCATTGAAGTCTATAAAACAAAAATGCTACTTTTTGCGTTTGAAAAAGTCCCTGACTCTTTCCAAAAAACGCACCGGGTGAAAACGTGTCCCATAGGAAATCATGTTAAATGGACTGTACTGCGTTTCTGCAAAATGCTGCAGAAAATGCTTAGGTGTGAACCTGGGGTCAGGGGCGGACTGACAACTCATGGGGCCCCCGGGCAATAGGAGATCATGGGGCCCCTGTGTCCTTGCCCACACCCAAAGCACACCCAAAAAAAAGCCTATAAAAGGTACCAGGGGCAATTCATGGGGCCCCCTACTGACCCCGAGTGCTCGAATGGTCAGTCCACCCTTGCCTAGAGTAAGCCCAGGGGCGGACTGACCATTTGGAAACTCGGGCACTGCCCGAGGGCCCGGGGTCAGTAGGGGGCCCCATGAGATGCCCCTGGTATCTTTTTCATAGGCTTTTTTGAGTTTGGGCAAGGACACAGGGGCCCCATGATCCCCTATTGCCCGGGGGCCCCATGAGTTGTCAGTCCACCCCTGGTAAGGCCTTAGGGTGTTCCCTGCATCCCCATGCAGGCAGTCCCGTTCCTGTCTATAGGGATGCAGGGGCTGCAGAATTCGGGGACACTTACCTGCACCCACAAGGCTCAGTCCAAAGCCCTCTAAAAAGCGTTGCAGTGCGGATTGCTCATTAGAGGGTCTAAGGGTCCGTTCACACCTATGCAGTGTGCTTCTTGTCCGTTTTGCAGTGCTTTTCGCAGTTCGTTTTGCGTTTTTTTTACAGTGTGCATTTTTTTCAGCTCTTTTTTTTTTGAAAGTGGAGTTTTTTTTTTTGCTAGGCAGAATAAAAAAGGCAAAATGTGGCAAAAATGCAGCAAAAACGCACTACCATGCATTTCAGCAGTTATCAGTAAAAATATATAAATACAAAAAAATTATAACATGCTAAAAGGTATCCCTACAGGTTCATTCACACATGCAGCTGCGTGGGGGGGGTGAGAGTAAAATCAGGGGGTTGAGCTGCGCTTTTCTGCCTCCAACCCAGGGGCGGACTGGGAACTTATGGGGCCCCCGGGAAATAGGGGATCATGGGGCCCCTGTGTCCTTGCCCAAACTCAAAAAAGCCTATGAAAAAGGTACCAGGGGCATCTCATGGGGCCCCCTACTGACCCCGGGCCCTCGGGCAGTGCCCAAGTTTCCAAATGGTCAGTCCGCCCCTGGCTGGCACACATGTGAATTAGCCCTCATATACATAAAGGGCAGCACAGGGGCTAAGTGGTCAGCACCTCCGCCTGGCAGTACTAGGGTCATCAGTTCGAATCCCAACCACGGCACCTCCTGCCTGGAGTTTGCATGTTCTCCCTGTGCCTGTGTGGGTTTCCTCTGGGTACTCCGGTTTCCTCCCACACTCCAAAGACATGCTGGTAGGAAAATTGGCCCTAGTATGTGTATGAATGTGAGTTAGGGACCTTTAAATTGACAGCTATATAAGTACCTATGATAAATAAAAAACAATTAAAAGAAAGATATCCTTTGATGAGCTTGACCCTAGGTTCACACCTAAGCAGGGGCGGACTGACAACTCATGGGGCCCCCAGGCAATAGGGGATCATGGGGCCCCTGTGTCCTTGCCCAAAAAACTCAAAAAAGCCTATGAAAAAGGTACCAGGGGCATCTCATGGGGCCCCCTGCTGACCCCAGGCCCTCAGGCAGTGCCCGAGTTTCCAAATGGTCAGTCCGCCCCTGCACCTAAGCGTTTTCTGCAGCATTTTGTACAGTCCATTTAACATGATTTCCTATGGGACAGGTTCACATCTCTGCGTTTTCACCCGTTGCGTTTTTTGGAAAGGTTCAGGGACTTTTTGAGTGCAAAAAGTTGCTTTTTTGGTTCTATAGACTTCAATGGAAACGCCGCAGGAATGCATGTAGTGCGTTTTTGCTGCATTTTGCGTTTTAAATCTGCCTAGCAACAGGAAAAAAAAGTGAAACGCATCAAGAACGCTGCAAAAACACAATGCAAAACGCAGTGCAGAAACGGATCAAACGCAACCTGCATAGGCGTTTTTGGTTCTATAGACTTCAATGGAAACACAGCAGAAAAACGTAGTGCGTTTTTGCTATGTTTTAAATGTATTTTTCCTGCATTTTGTGTTTTTAAGTCTTCCTAGCAACAAGAACATTTTTTAAAAATGAAAAAAAACCCACCAGACGCATCAAAAACGCTGCAAAAATGCAAGACACAACACAAAACGCGATGCAGAAACACCTCAAACGCAACCTGCATAGGTGTGAACCTAGACCTAGATCTATGGGCTCATCTGTCCCTGTGGCCTCCTATATGTTGGCCGAACCATGCGCCCCTTGAGGGTCAGGTTTGGCGAACACAAATGTAACATCATTAATTACAAGGAGAGCAATAAAGGCAAAAACAAATATTCCGTACCACGGCACTTTCAGGAGGCACACAGTGGTGACCCATCAGGCATGAAAGTATTTGGGATTGAATCCATCACAGGAGATTCAGATGGTGGAAGAAAATTCCAAAGACTATGTAAGAGGGAGACTTATTGGATCTTCACTCTGGGTTCCCTCTCACCCACTGGGCTTAATGAAGATCTTGAGATACATGGGGTCATCCACTGACTCCCCGTTATGCATAGGTACCTTCTGCTGAGCTGCACATGTTCCCTAGAGTCCTACTCTCATCCTTTTTGTCTCTCTCCCAAACCCCCTCCTTTTTTTTTCCTCTCTCTCCCCCCCCTCTTTAGTGCTAGTTCCATCATTTCCCTTGTGACCTATAGTGGGTACACCATCCACTACAGATGTATGCTTTAGATATATTCATTTTCATCAGCTATGATTACTATAGTATCATCAGTATAGCTACCATTACCCTGCATCCTTACACATTAGGTTGCTCACTTCATATTTATTGTGTCACCCTTAGGCGATTGCGTATGACCGCATTCCCATGCGCTTGTGTCTATGGGTCATTCATTGGTCACCCATTTTTTCATTCAGTTTCCATATGTGTGTGTGGGTTTATGTATGTATGTATGTATAGACATGTTTTTTACTAAAAAGCAGTTGCTCATGTGGATGTGTTACACACACATGTGCGCACGCATGTTGTCCAGTGAGCTCTCTTCGAGCACTGATTTCTCATCCTGCAAGTGCTTGTTCCATAGCGCCTTTGACATTTTTATATAGTTCTTATATATAACACATATATACATCTTTTGTACATATAATTATTAATTTTATTTATTTTTTTTTATTATAATTTTTTTTTTTTTTTCTTTTCCTATATATTTATATTTCTTATGCTTCCATGTCTGTGCATACACACATATACCGTACACTATACCAATTTTACCAGATATTATACTATATTGTAACAATACTTATTTAATTTTATTTTATTTAAACTTTGTGAGCCATATTAAGAAGTTTTTTGTAACGTTTTATATCAACATTTATGTTTTACTAGTGATTT